TTCATCAAGAAGCACTCCGCCCTTCCTGTGCCCTTTGCGCTCTGCTGAATTGGCTCTTTCTCTTCCACCTGGCTGCCTTCTGGGATTTCAAGTCTGGCTTGACATTCCTAAAGCCCCACTAGAATGCTTCTCTCTTGAGGGTCTCTCTCTGCAGGGAGGGAGGGAGGGAGGCAAAGACCAGAAACCCCCAGTCTCTCCGTTGTCGAGTCTTTTCCTACTCACAGCCACCCTGAGGGACGGATGGAACTGCCCTGCGGACGGCAGCTCTTGACAGGGGTGGAAAGCCTCATCTCTCTCCCCCAGGAGGGGCTCGTGGCTCAGCACTGCTGATCTTGAGCTAGCTGCTCAGTGCATCAACACCGCCAGACCCTTGAAATGGACGGTTCTGCAGCCTCAACCCCAAGGAAGCGGGCAGACCCATAGGTTCTCCCAGACAGCAGGAATCAAAGTCCACCTGAAGGAGGCCACGGCTGGACTTCCCCTCCCAGGGTCCCAGGTGCCCAGCCCTGCAGTCTCCCTGGGGTGTGGCCCACCTCAGCCAACATTGCCTATTGGGAGCCCTGGACCCAAGGGCTCTAGTATGGCCTCCCTGCAGACCTGACCAGTCAGAGATGTCACCGCAGCTGAGACTTCTTGGGTGGCAAAGGAGAAGTGACCTGCTCCCGATTGGAGGGTGGCATTTCATGATCCTGGCTCTTTGACGGCAGACAGCAGTCCCTGTCCCCTTCGGGTCTTCTCTGAAGTTAGGGGACGCCTTTTGGTGGCTGTGCGCGTTTTTCTTTCTTTCTCTTTAATTAAATACTTTTATTGGGAGCTCTTCCAGCTCTTATCACGACCCATACATTCATCCATTGTGCCAAGCACATTTGCACCCGTTGCCATCATCATTTTCAAAGCATTTTCTCTCTACTTGAGCCCTTGGTAGCAGCTTCTCATTTTTCCCCTCCCTCATGAACCCTTCATAATTTATAAATAGTTATTTTCATCTCTTACGCTGTCTGCTGTCTCCCTTCACCCACTTTTCTGTTGTACTTTTCTTTTTACAAATCCAACTAGATCAAGCTCAAGCAAGAAATAGGATGAACTTGTGGGTCCATCTCTAGAGCACAGTGGCTCGCCTGACTTGAGTCACATGGCTTCAGAAGTGGGGCCGGGTGGTCCCTTGGGAAAAGGGAGGTGTTGGTATCAGAAGGGAAAATAGAGATGCCCGCTACAATGAATCCACTCCTTGGCTGCCCCCAATTCCCACAGAAAGGCCAACTGTAGCACATGTCTTCAGCACACCTGCCAAGGCAGAAGACAACTGCTGTGCTAAGCAGAAACGGCATGCAGTCATTTGGCTGTCTGTCCCCATTCACGTTTGGCCAGCATCTCCCTTGTCCATTGTCTCCTTGGGTCCATGATATGGACACTGGGGCTGGTTCCATCTGCCTCTTTCACAACCCACGTGGTAAGTTTTGCTTTAAGGGTCTCTTAGCCTCTCATCTTAGAGCAGCGGTTCTCAACCTGTGGGTTGCGACCCCTTTGGGGGTCGAAAGACCCTTTCACAGGGGTCGCCCGATTCATAACAGGAGCAAAATGACAGTGAGGAAGTAGCAACGAAAATAATCTTATGGTTGGGGGGTCACACCACATGAGGAACTGTGTACAAGGGTCGGGCATGAGGAAGGTTGAGAACCACTGTCTTAGAGCTTCTGCTTGCCAGGCTTGGTGCTTCCCTGGCATGGGTGTCATGGGGGTTGCCCACTTCGTGCACATAGTAGGGCTGCGGCAGGCCTCCCGCCTGAAGGCAGAGCTCCGAGACCTTGTGGGCTTGTTTCCAGACCATTGCGATCAAGTGTGTGTCCCAACACGTGGATGTGTGCTTGTTTGTTCGTTCCCAATGCACATGAAGAGGAGCCCTGGTGGTGGAGTGGTTGACTCCCTGAGCTGCTAACAGCAAGGCTCGCAGTTCGAAACCATCAGCTGCTCCTCAGGAGAAAGATGAGACTTTCTAGTCCCGTAAAGATTTGCAGTCTTTGAAATCCCGGGGGGCAGTTCTTCTCTGTTGCTCTGAGTCAGCATTGACCCGATGGCCGTGAGGTGGGCTTGGACAGCACCTGAAAGGCATGTCCACATCTCCGCACTACGTGCTAGCCCCATGGAAACGTCTAGAACAGTGTGAGGATGACCAGAAGTAAGAGGTGCCTGTCCGGGCACTCAACACTCTCTGGCGGACAAATCCCTGAGGCTACAGCTCGGTGCCTGCCTCAGTGTCCATCATGGGAAAACAGGTCTTGGGTCCATGGGAAGTGAGGGAAGTGAGGGCCGTGGGTCAGAAGGTGGAGCCCTGGGCCCCAGAGGAATCCAGTGCCTTTGAGCCAATTGGACTCGTGGTGACTGACGTGTGACCTGAGTCCAACTGGCCCCTGGTGTTCCCATGCTGTAGATCTTGAAGGAAGCACACGTCCACATCGGTCTCCCACAGGGCCCTGCCCCAGGTGTGACCTTCTGGACATTGACTTTTTCCAAAGAGGTAATTTTCACCTTCCAGAGGAGGATCGGGATTCAGCACCCTCCGGTGGTCTCCTTTCCTCGGCCCGGGGGCTTCCTTCCGGCCCCAGCCTAGTCTCAGAGGCCTTCGGCTCCAGCCTTGGGAGAACACGGAGGCTCGGACCTCACGCCTCTGCTTGCGGGAATGGTGAACCGCCAGCGGCCTCTCCCCACCCCTAGACAGAGTCTGAGCAATCGGGCAGGCTCAACGCGCAGAAATAGAAAAAGCAACGGTGTTTCCATCATGGGAAGAAAAGGAAGGAAAGTGTTACCAAAAATCTCCTTTTCCTGCTTGGGGGCAGATTTTAAAAGCTGCCAAACCCTGCAGGGCAGGGGAGCCTGAGCGGGTGGGGTCGGGGGCTGTGAGGAATGTGTAGGGCAGCTCCAGATGGGAGAGGGAGGTTGGAAATGAGACAGACACCCCACTCCAGGAACAAAGAGGGAAGAACAAATGGGCGTTTGTGTGGCGGCACTAACCTGTGTGATAGATGGAGTAACACTGCCTCTAAGAACCAGGTCCAACGCCAATGAAGTCTTCCCCGAGCCCTCCTTGATGTGCCAGAGAGCTGCCTCCCCAGCCTGGTGGGGCATGACTGGTCCCAGCCCTGCCGCCCTGTGTGGCCAGGCCATGTCGCCCACAGGCTGACACCCAGGTGTGCTAGATGCGGCTCCCCCGACCTGCTGCTTGCAGCTTGGCTTAGAAGGTTCTGCATCGGCTTGGTTGGAAGCTCCCCGGTCTTGCTCTGCACTGGGCTGCCCTTGCCCGGTCTTTCCACACAGATGCCAGACCTGCGCCGAGATCTGAAGACCCTCGCTCCTGCCTTCTCCTGCACCCTTTCCCTCAGCTGGCGGGCCCTCCTTCTCATCAGTCGCTTGCATGTTATTACGGAAAGTGCCTAGGAGGCCGTTTTCTTTGTTATTTCCATCCTACCCTGGTAGGGTAGGTTCTAAATCTAATCACCTCCGAGTCACCAAGAGGGCCAAATAGGCATAGGCCCCAAGTGAAGATGGTCTGCCAGCCAAGGAGCCGAGGAACGCCGGGAGCCCTGGGTTATGCATTGGTCTGCAACCCACAAGGTCGGCAGTTCGAGACCACTAGCAGCCTCAAGGGAGAAAAGTGAGGCTTTCTGCTCCCGTGAGGAGTGACAGTCCCAGACTCAGACTCACGTCACCAACAAGGGAGCAGTCAGGCCAAGGCCTCGACGTGGCCTCTAGGCCCTCAGAATGGTGAGAACACAAGCTTTCTGTGGGGTGGCCACGAGCTGGAAGCAGTCCGATGGCGGTGAGTCTGGTCTGATTTCTCAAAGCCGCCCACATGTGGCATTTCCGCGAGCGCAGCCCAAGGGAACGAAGACAGATGGCTTGTTGACAGCGCCCCGTGTGACCTGGATGGCGAGCAAAAGGTAGCTGGTTTCTTCTGTCTGGGAGCGCCCTGCAATCAGGGAAGAGCCCATCTTGGGATCATCCCTGCACTAGCCCAGAGAACGTTGGTCGAAGGTTGGCTGCAGGATCGAGCGTTCAGATCCTGGGCCTGGAGGGCAGGCGTGGCTACTTGAGTGGCCTGTACTCGGAAGGGCAGCGGAGTTAGGGTGGCAGTCAGACTCAAGAGATGGCTGGGGCTCTCTCTGCGTCTGCATAGGAAGGCCCACTAGGTGAATAGGGGTGGAGTAGGCAGGCAGAGAGAAAGAATAAAAAACAGAAAGGGCCATTGGTCTGTCAGATGCCCAAGCCCAAGCCCAAGCCCTGACACAGAGCAGGCCCCGCGGTGCCAGGACGCCTGGGCCCCAACAGCTTCCTGGGGGATCTCTCTGCGATGAGGTCAGCGTGCAGGGCCCGAGCGTGCTTCCCTCTGGGAGTCCTGGTCTGTCCTCTGTGCTGTGTATCCCCATTGGGGGCCTGCATCTGGTGGCCACCACACTTCCTGTAGAGATGAAGTCTGCTTACAATTCCTGTCAAAGACCACCCTGATCCCGGAGGGGGACCAAGCGCAACAACTGGCCCACGGCGGCGTGGTGAGGGGCCTGGGGAGAAGTCGGGGGCTCCTGTAGCCACTGTGGCCCAAGCGGGAGGGGGCAGAGAAGGCCCTTTCAAAAGCCTGTTTCCTGGAGGCAGCTCTGTGGTGTGCAGGGTAGGGCCCAGGAATGAGCCGGCCTTGGGACACAGTGCTGCCCAGTCAGCCGACAGCACAGTCCAGTTGCCTGGCTGGGGCCATGGGTGACAGGGTTCCCTGCGGGGCCACCTCCAGTCCCAGCTGCCTCAGCCAGCTTATCTCCAGCTGCTCCGTTCCCTGCAGCGTTATCAGGGGCAAGGAGGTTCAGGCAGAGTTCAAACCCCTGCCCCATGGGACAGGGCACAGGTGTGAAGGGAGAAACTGACCTTGGGCCCAGCCAGTTGACCTCAGACCTGAAGGGTTTAAAAGGCTCCCGAGACTTGCCCCCAGCCTCAGTTTGACCCTGCCTGGCGACAACATGAGGGTACTGGTGCTGACGGCACTGCTGGTGGCTGTCTTTGCCAAAGAGAACTTTGTGGGGTAGGGGCCTGGGGAGGAGGGCTGTGTGCTTGGGAGGTGGGAGGTGCGGCACCCCAGAGAGTCTGGGGAGGACAGAGAGACTGACGGACAGACATGTGGGGACCGGGCCAGGGCGATGGGCTGACCAGGTCCCTCTAGGACAGTGTCCCAAGCTCTAGAGGAATCGGACGCTCTGCGGGAGGGATGTTCTAGGGGGCAGTCAGGGAGTGGCCCGGGGAAACGGTCTACATGGAGGGAACCCAAACCCTGCCTGCCCAGCTCCTCAGGGTGTGTTGCCGGGAGACTGTGGTGGGAAGGCACACACACCCCCACCCCGCCCCGGCTCAGTCCCTACCTGCCCTGCCCTGCCCAGGCACCAGGTGCTCCGGATCTCCGCAGTCAATGAAGCCCAGGTTCAGAAGGTGAAGGAGCTGGAGGAGCTGGAGCACCTGCAGGTAGCGGAGCAGGAGCAGGAGGAGGGTGAGGGCCCTCCAAGTCCCCTCCTCTCCCTGAGATGGCGGAGCTGGCCCTTCCGCCCAGAAGAGACAGGGCACTAGATCCCATACGCACTTGACACCCGGACATCCCCGTTCCTGAACCGTGCAGGCCTGGGGCATCAGGCTCCCTCTCCTTCTGCTCCGCGGCTCTCCACCCTGCTTCCTGCCATGACTCCCCCATCCCCAGGTGTCCCCTTCCCCCTCGGACCCTTTCCTCAGGGCACCAGGCCCCTCCAGACCGGCCCTGGGCCCACCACTGCCCCTCCCCTCACAGTTGGACTTCTGGAGAGGCCCTGCCCAGCCCGGTGCCCCCATCGACGTCCGAGTGCCCTTCCCCAGCCTGCAGCCCGTCAAGGTCTTCCTGGAGTCCCATGGCATTGAGCACAGGGCCATGATCAAGGACCTGCAGTCGCTGCTGGACCAGGAGCAGGAGGAGATGTTCGCCTTCCAGGCCCGCGCCAGCTCCACGGACTCCTTTAACTATGCCACCTACCACACCCTGGAGGAGGTGAGGTGCCCAGCGGCCTGGGCCATGGGGCAGGGCTCCGGCCAGAGCGGGCTGCCTTGACCTGGGAGGTGGGGTGGCACCAGGGCCTCCAGCAGCAGGGGGCAGGCACATGCTGAAGGAACAGCTGCTGGCCCGGAAGCCACACAGGTGGTTCTGTATTTACCCGCACGCCCCCCGCCTTAGATCTACAACTTCATGGACATGCTGGTGGCTGAGAACCCCAACCTGGTCAGCAAACACGAGATCGGGAGGACCTACGAAGGGCGCCCCATTTACGTGCTGAAGGTAACCCAGGGACACGTGGGCAACCAGAGGGTGTGGGGAGCCCCCTCCCCCGCCTTCGGGAAAGATCTGGCTTTGCACACACCTGCGCATCGCAAACTTTGAGGGCCCCCCATCAAGGGGCACATCGTGCACGTCGCTTTTGGGGCCTGGGTGGCCCAGATAAAACAGCGTGCCGGCAACGGTCTTGAGTCCCAGCACAGAAAGTCCATAGTGGGGCACTTTCACCAATGGAAGTTGATTTTCTCCCCGTTTCAACGGCAGGGCATCTGAATCCGGGGGCCAGCTCTCAGACAGGAGTCCCGGTGGTAGGGAGGGTGACACGGGGGCAAGGGCAGCAGCTGAGCCTCACCAGCCCCTCTCTGCAGAAAGAGGGGGCTTTCTGCTCCCATCAAAACCAGCAGCTGTGGAAATCCATGGGGGAGCGTCCACTGGGCCCATAGGGTCCTGGGCATCAGAACCGGCTCCGTGGCAGTGGGCAAAGCTGCCGGGAAGATTTCTCAGGGGCCCACCATCACTGCTCGATGGCTGGTTGATCCATGGCTCCTGCAATCCTCTCTCTCTCTCTCTCCCTTTCTACATTTAAAAAGAGATTGGCTCAAGACACACCCTGCCCTAATACTGCCTCATTAACATAACACAGAAGTGCCACTCCCACATGGGATTATACCTACCCAAACCCAACCCAAACCCACTGCCCTCCAGGGGAGTCCTCCTCAGAGGGGCTCTGGCTTAGAATAGTCCTGACCCATAGGGTTTCTGAGGGTGTACAGTGAACCCT